TCAATTAAAGAGTTTAGGAGTGGTGAAAGAGAAAAGAAATAGTTTAAAATAAAATAGTCCATATGTAATAAAATAATAATATTTTATTAAAGTTGTTGTTAAAAGGAGCGATGAAGTCAAACCAAGGTAAATTAAAATGTTTTGGAACCTCGAAAGCTAGATGGAAAATTTTAAATTAAATAATATTTTATTAGTAAAATATTATTTAAATAATATTGAGATATTTCTATTATGAGTGATGGACAAACTCACATAATTTAAGCATTGAACTTAAGTGAGGGAGTTATAATATAATTTTGATGATTTGAAGAATAAAATATTATTTTACTGATTCTAGAATATTATTTTAATGAGTGAAATTTTAGTGATATAAGTATTAATAAAAGTATATGTGAGTTTGGAAGAATTGAGACATGGAAAATTAATTGAGATAATTAAGATATGTGGGATAATGAAATCTGCATGTGGATTCACTATTACATGTGAAAAAGGGAAAGTTAGTGGGGAACAAGTGGGATGCCCACCATGTGAAGTAAAAAAAAAGAATAAGAATAAATCCTATTGCATGTAATAAGATTGGTGCATTAGGTGACCAAATGCGGAAAGAAAAAAATGTGGGATGCATGTGACTTGAATAGTTTGGTGAATGACCAAATAAAATATAAAGCAAAGGTTGTGCATGAAATATGATTGAATGAATAAGGTGGTGCATGAAATAAAGAATGAAGAAAGAAAGGATGAGGTAGTGAAGGTAGCAAATGGAGAAGATAAATCAGGATAGACATTGGGCCAATGATCAAGGGAGAAAATTTATGCATGGAAATTGAGTGAGTGATGAGTTGGTCCAATAAGAAGTGAGGAGTAAAAGAAAGAAGAGAAGGGTGGGGAAAGGCTTGGGAAAACCATGCCTTTAAGGGGAAAAAGAATGAGAGAATTTAGCCTTGTGAAGCTCCACCCGAGAAGAAGAAAGAAAAGAGAAGTAAATAGACATTTAAGGTAAAGCTTGGTTTTTTTTTTTCAGATAAATCTTAAGAAACAGTGAGGTTTTCTTTCCTTTACTTTGATGAGTCTTGGCATCTCAACATCCAAAGACAACTTTGGAGATTTGAAGGAGATGTGTGGCTTGGTTTCAAGATCCAAGTGAGGAAAGGTAAGAATTGTGATTTTAGTTTGAATATGTTTTTGAAAACCCAGAATGGTAACATAGGAAAATGTTTATGAAACAACGGTTTCCCAAGATTTGAAAGAAATAGGATGCCATGCATGTCATCAACCTTTGGTTGAGTGGTGGATTTAAGCCTTGATGATCAAAACTTGGAGGCAAATTGGAGATGCATGCCAAGTCCAAGTTATCCTAAAGGTAAGCAAGCAATGAGAATGGATTGTGTTTTCTTAGATTCGGCTAGAAAGAATGTGTATACTAGTTATATGTTTTGAAGAAAGTAAAAGGTAAAGGATTATGCATGTAAAGATTTAAGA